GACTCTGTCATACCTGAGTTGAGTTCCTAGTCCTGTGCTTCCTGCCCTTTTCTCACAAACCCATCCTCCTGCTGCTTTGAGGTGTCATGTGAAGCAGCATAGGAGTGGAGTGCCATCAGAGCAGGAGCCAGGTGCTGCTCCCCCCAGCCTGTAAGTACCCCTTGCACCACTTTCTGCTAGGCAGTACTTCCCACTCCTGCCACTTTGTGCCTCTGCTGAGTCTAGGTGCTCTGATCCAAAGGCAGGGATCTGAACGGTTTGGGAGCTGTGGCATGGGTCAGGCTCAGCATAAACTACATTAGGAAAAGATCTCCAGAAGCAGTGCCTTAGCAAGGGTGGCCTTGAGGTTTTCTGGTTCCATCCCCCATTGTACTCCTGGAAAGGTACTAAGGAGATGGCCTCCTGCGTGTGAACTCGTGTCTCTTAACCTTTGGGCTCACTCCTTTACTGGCATTAGGAGTGTAGCACTGCTCCTTGCCTCCTTCCATAGCCTTGAATCAGAACACTGATCCAGCCCGCCCACACCATCCCAGGTAATATCTCAGGAGGAGTTTTGAGCTCTGAAGGGCTTTGGTCATAAAAGGCAAGGATAACAGCAGCAGATGTTTGTGTGTTTGCTTGTTTGTGGTTTCCTTGCTTCCTCCCGTATGCAGCCCCTGGTCTGTAATAACTGCTATAGCGGGTGTTTTTGTGGAAACAAATCACCTGCTTTCATCTGGAGAGCAACAGTGATTGTGCTGGGGGAGCATGATCTATTTTTCATGTCTCAGTCTTTCTTATTATTTAAATTAATGTGAGTTGCAGTTGTCATGAAGTGAAGGATTGACAGCAATTAACCAGAACAGGCTTGCTGCAAGCTGTTTCTGCACAATCCTGTTCCACCTAGCTCTATCACTGTATCTTTCTTGGGACCTAAAATCTCCCACACCAGCTCTGACCTTGTACCCCTCCTGCAGCTCTCCCAGTCCAGGGCACCCTACAGTATCTCTGCCCTCGTCTCACTCCTGCCTTGCAGCTCTCCTTCTCCTCCAATGTGAGCTTCTCTCATGGAGAATGGCCACTGGTTACTTTAGGGTTTGTCATTTACTGTCAGTGACATGGGAGATGAGATGCTGGGCTGGCATCAGCCTAGTGCTGTAGATGTGAAGTGTACAAGAAACAAATATGTGAGTTTCAAGCCATTCTTCTCAGTGTTCATTCCCATCCATCTTTCCAGAATCAGTGCCTGCTGTGGGTGGAGCATCCTCCCTCTCTGGGGATGGAGCAGTGGGGTATTACAGTGTGCTTCCTTTCATGTCTGGCTCTGCTCCCCACCCCAACCAGGGGGATCCTAAGCACACTGTCATGGACACTCCGTATGATTCACACTGAAAGAGTGGAAAAAATCTGGCCAATTTATCTTTTTCAGCAGTACCAGAGACCCGGGCAGTGGTTTCCCATGATCCTTGGAGCCAGAAGGATCCAGGAGCAGCCTGGTTTCCCCTGAAGGGAAAAGCTGTTAGTCAGAACATGAAAATGTTTGGAAGCACTGTTTAGCTGTAGTACTTGCCCTGCTGTGGGGCTGCAGCTTGTGGGTTTGCCTCTGCTAATGGTTCAACGAGGCCAAACACAAAAGAATTTTCCACTTGAGGGTCAACAGGAGATGGCTGGGAAAATGGAGGCTGTGACACCCTGATGATTATGGTCCCAGGAGGTTTTGTTCTCAGCAATCCTTCTTCCAGTAGTCTGGGACCTGTGAAAATATAATACAACCCACACATGGGGTAAAATAATAAGGTCAAAGCTTCTCATTTTAAGGCTGTCCTAAAAAGGTGTGTGCAAGGTAATGACAAGTGCCAAGGAGGCAATGCTAACTGTTGCTGCTGCTGACAGTTTTGGCATTTTAACATGCTGGCTTGATGCCCTGAAAATTAAAAGTCTCTGACTTTTTATCCGAGTGAAATTATTGTCCACTGGCTTTGGATTCTAAGCAGATGAAGCCAAGCCAGGTTTTAAGTTTAGAGGGAAATTATTTCCTGCCCTATTCCCCCTTGTCTGAGCCTTTCATTGCCTTCTGACCAAGGTGGCAGCTGAAAGGAAACAGCCATTATTTTCCTAGAAGGATTTCAGCCTTGGATGTCCTTTTCACCCTCATCTGAAAAAGTGGCAAGCCAGATATGACCATCTGGACACATGCTTTTCCTCTTGGGCATTCAGTAGACATGGTCAGAACTGCTTGTACTGTCTGAGTTGACTTGATCCTCTGTGAAGTAAAATGTCTTGATGGCTTTGGAGAGTGGCAGTTCATACCCGTCCCAGCTGGAGCTCTGCTGCTGCCCTGTAGTGGCTTTTGCTGCTCTCTCCTCAGCCATTTTGGCTGGCATTGCACCATTTTACTAGGACTTCACACTGGCCCACAGCTTCACCTGCTAGTCCTGCTTCAGTTTTCTGCATGGCTTTTTTTTTCTCATGCAAATTTTAACCTCTTGGAGTTACAGTAATATTCCCAAAATGTGGTCTAGCTACTGGTTTTACTCCTGGGCTCTGTTTACCCAGGTTTGCCAGTGCACCAAGGAGATGTTTTGCTGAGGACGCTCCAAAATCACTGTCCTTGCTTCCCCTGACAGAACACCTGGGCCACAACTCTTGCAGAAATAGGAGCTTCTGATGTTCTGTCCCAAACTAAGCCCCTCTGTCCTCTCCTGTGCGTGTTGGTCTTCTATCAGGTCTGAGGTGGCCCTCCAAGTTGCTTTGTTTCCAGAAAGTATGAGTATTTCATACTCATACTTTCCAGAAGCAGTTTGGATTTCAGCACCAGAACTTTCAGGGCTCTGCCAGCCTGCAGATCTGCTGGCTGGAACAATGTGCAGGTCTGTCCTGAACCATGGGACAGGGTGTTCCCCTCATCCACTGGGTAAGAAAGGAGGTGAGTTTCCATCCCCTCTCTGAGGAGCCCCTTCCTTTCTTGACTTTCTAAAAGTAAAAGCTTTTTCCTCATTTTGAGTCCAAATTTTTCCCTACATTGCAGCTCATGTTAGCTGCTTCTCAGTGTTCACTGTGCACCTCTGAGAAAAGCCTGTCTTTTCTGCACATTCCCACTCACTTTTTATAGAGAGCAATAACATTTCTCTCAGCCTTCTCTTCTTCAGACTGAACAGACCCATCTCTCTTAGGTTCTCCTGGGAAGTCATGTGCTACAGCCCTCTGACCATCTTGGGAGCCTTCCAGTTGGCTTGCTCCAGTGTGTCAATGGCCTTCTTGTGCTGGGGAGCCCAACACTGATCTAGTGTCTAACACTAGAGACTGAGACTGATCTAGTGTCTAAGAAGCACCATGCAAAGGGTTTTAGGCACTTCCCTGCACTTAGGGGGTTGCACTCCTGCTAATACAACCCAGGATGCTTGGTCTTTGCTGCAAGGGCATACTGCTGACTCATGCTGAACCTGAAGGACCCCCATGTGTCCTGGACTGCTTGAGCCTAGCACTTTCCCCCTCCCAGAAAATATCAAGGTGGTTGGTCCCTAATGGGGGACTGTGATTGTGAGGCTTATTCTACCTGTCTAAAGTGGTATTGCTTCTTCTTAATCATCCCAATGGTTTTTCACACACATGCCACCGTGGATCTGTGTGAACATCTGATTCCTCCTGTCTGTCCACCATGATACTTGCACTGATGCACAGGCATTTGAGGTGGGCCCCCAGCTGTCCTGCTTTCACAAGGCATGCAGAAGCCTTCCCTGTTGTGCTGCCCCCCAGCTGCTCCCTCACTGCCCTCTGCATTGTCACGTCTCCACAGATCACGGCAATCCTGCCCCAGTGTGCCTGGCTTAAATCCCTCCTTGCCTGTGTGAGTGAGCCTGTTGGAAAAGAGATGTCTGCCTCACTTTGCTCGACAGGTCCTCTTCCTTCAAGGGGGGTCTCATGGTCATAGGCAGTCAAGCGTTGTCCATGAGTTTGGGGCATGAGAGGGGCTAATGTGGGTTGTAAACAACACTCCTGTGAATCCAGCAACACAGCTGGAAGTAGTGAGTTTCCCTCTTCAGACTTCATTTCCTCTTCCCCGCATAGTTTATAGGCAGTTTTGCCTCAAAAGAAGCATCAGCCACTCCTGCCAGGGAGGGGGAAGGGAAAGCTTCTGTCTGTTTACTCTGTGGTAAGCAAAGCAGAAAATGATGTTGTTTCTTTCCTCACTACACACAAATTTGGAAGCTGAAAATGTATTAAATAAATAAATAAATTTGAGGATTCCTTTTTAGTGAAAATCCCTTACCACCTGACATGGGGTGTGAAGCATGGAAGCAAGACATGGACGTGAGAGAGGAAAGACTGCAACAGCTGGCACACTCCACACCTGGAAGTGCCTGTTCAGGTCCCAGTTCATGGTCACTCTGGTGCCATGCCACAAACTCAGCTTGGAAAGTTTTTAAGGATCTTGGACGCCCAAGTCATGGTTGATCTTGAACCTTAGCGACTCTACTGTGCCTTTGGTGCTCTGCCATGTGTGGTGCAGTCACCCAGAAGCTGCCTACTGCAGGTAGCCCACGAGGGGAGACATCTTGGCTGAAAGATGTCACAAAAACCAATAACTAATACACACTCTGAGTCAGTGCCTTGAAGCCTGACATCCTTCAGGAGGATGTAGAACTCCATCTGGGACTCCCTGGAGTGTAAAAATTAGCTGGGATGATACTTGGAGCCTGCTGACCCTTTCTATACAGCCTTGAGGTAGGCAGGCAAGTTGTGAGAGGTCATTTTATGAAGACCCCCAAACTTGTCCAAACACAAAGCATTGCAGTTGCAGCACAGGCCATTTCTACCTGTAGACTCTTGGAATACAAACTACACACCAGTACAGACTACTCTGATGTAATTTCAGAAGCCCAGGTAGCAGTGAGAGGGGTGCAGCCTGTGAGATGAGTTTGTGGCTGGCTCTGGTTGATAGGTAGGTAGATTAATAAGCCAAGCAAGCTGCCCTCATAATTCTGCTTCTAACAAGGTCAAACTTTCTTTTGTCTTCACAGTTCCACCAAAGATCTCCACGATCTCCTCGGACATCACCGTGAATGAGGGCAGCAATGTGACCCTGGTTTGCATGGCAAATGGGCGTCCTGAGCCTGTCATCACCTGGAGGCACCTCACTCCTACAGGTAAGAAATACAACTGGATTAAATTTGTGAACTGCACAGTAGTTTCCTTTTCTTCCAGCATCAAAGAAAATTTCAGTAGCAATATAGGCAGCTATAGAAAACTGGTAAGAATCTTAAATGTACTTCAAGCTTGTTTTGCAGTGTGAATTCCCAGGCACAATAACCAGGTTTTCCAACTGAACAAATGAAATTACTTCAATATATCCTCTGCAGAGTTGGACATGTAATTCTATTTAGCTTAGGTCTTCATCTACTTGTCCCAGTCTTACTGCTGGTAATGCACAGCACAGTGGTGGAGATGAAATGCTGCTGGTGTTAAACTGAGGGAAAAGGCTTTCTGTTGAGACACTGCATAAAAGAGGTTCTCTCTGAAAATCATGGGATTTGCTTCCTACTGATCTGCCTTAAAAGGGAGAGACAAACAGTGGCCCAGTTAATTTCATATTGCTCTCCACTTTGGCAGACAGCCCAAAGTCAGAAGTCTTCTGAGGTGAGTAAAGAAAGCATTTGATCTTCAAGGTGAGTGAAGAGCAAGATGGTAACAAAATAAAGGAGAACTCACCATCTTTGTTCTGCTATCTGACTATGCCCTCCATGCTCAAGGACATGACAAGGTTAGGAGGAGAATGTCCTTTCAGTAGCCAGACTCTGTGGGGTTAGCACCTTGGGTTGCAAGGAAACCTTCAACCCCTAAAGATTTAACAGTAGGATGAGAACAAGAGGTAGGTTTCTATCCCTCCATATCATGTCCTTGGAGGAGAGAAAAATTCTTTAGTTGATTTCTTTTCCTATCAGATACTCTTTAATTTAAAATGCATGGGGAAAACATTGATTAGCCCCATATGAATGATCTTCTGTGATACTCACATATATGTAAAGGGTTAAAGAGGATTTGAAGTAGGCAGTCAGCAAACATTCTGCATGTGCTACAGATAGTCCAGCTTCCTACTGCAGTTCAGTTCTGCAGTGTTGCAGAAAGTTAGAGAAAGGTAGAATGACACATTGGAACAGAGCTTAATCTAAGGGCTACATCCAGAACCCCCTGGATTTGGAGCCTGTGGTTGAGATTGGGGTTACTTAGATTTCCTGTCTTGTCTCTTCAGCCAAACCAAAGTTCTCCTGAGCTTTCATGATATGAAAGCCAGATATGCAGTTTGTATTTCTGGCCCATTTCTTGCAATGCCAAGAGAAAAAAGATGAGGAAAGCTTGCCAGGAAGAGGTGAGAGCAGGGCTGATTAGGGGAACACTATTCCTCTGTGGTATTATCATCACTACCTGACTTTTCTCTTCTGTTTTTTTTAGAATTAAGTATGACTGTTCCATTTGCATTCATAAGAGAATATAACTTTTTTTTTTTTTTCATTTTTAAATATGTATATAGAATCTTCTAGCTCTGGTATTTCTGTTCTTAAGGTTTACTTCATATCAGATCTTCCATATTACTGCTGCATCAGTCTTTCAGTTCTCTAACTCTTTCTTGTATCCAAGTAAAATATACTCCCTAGCTATTTTGTGAGCACAGCCTAACACTGAGTTAAGGGCGCTAAATCTTTGTGAAATGTAAGGCCTGATAGACATGAGATGCATTCTTCAGAGCAGTGAGAAGATTCTTGTCCTGACTCATCACTTTGGCTGTTGCTGCTTTGTGGGAGGCTTTTCATTTGTACCACCTACTTCACTGTATAGACAGAGAATTTTGTTTTTTTCCTTTTAAAAAAGTCTCCACAGAACAAATCCTCACTCTGGCTATCCTCTCTGGTTAGCAACAGAACTGAAGAACCCCATCCCTGCTTTGACCATGGGGACAGTTTTCTTGGCTCTGTTGTTCAGTTTTCCAGCAAGTCCTTTCACAATTTTTCTCCCATGCTGTGTCTCAGAGGTGTTGCCTTGTTAGCATCCCTCAGCACCATCTCACTGACTCCTTTCCAATCCCTCCTCAGCCCTCCTCCCTACAGTGAAGCCTGCCAAGTACCTCCTTCATAACAAACTAGAGGTTATGATGAAGGGCAGGCAGTCCTCAGTCTGTCACCTCCATGTGTCACTGATTGTGGTTCTTTCTTTTTCCCCATCTGAACCCATCTGCTGTCTTTTACAGATACAGAGGAACTGCTTTCAGGCAGACATCAGCTCTTTGAGCAGCATAAAGCCCAGTAAGACACTTGTCTCAAAATGGGAGGCAGAAGGGCTTCTTTTAAATGTTTTCCTTGAGGTTGACAATTAATATAAATTCCAAATCTCTTCCAGAGCTGCTGCAATTGGAAACGTGTCTTATCTTGGAATCGCCCTTTTCCAGAACTGTAAGGCATTTTGGCTCCATTTATGCGAGTTTTGAAGACATCTGCTATGCATCAAAGAGCTATTTTAGATCATTGTAAAGGTTTCTAAAATATATCTCTCTCCTTCAATTTTTTTCATGGTTAAACTTGTGACTGCAGAACTGGAAGAAAGAGTGTTATTGAGCTTGTGTGGGAGGTTTTGAATGGACAGGTAGTGAAATTAAACCCGTATTGGCGGGCAAGAGGGCCAAAGAAAATTACTTTTTCCTTGTGCACTCTCCTCAAAGAGTTCATTAACAACTTTGTCTGCTGTTTCTTTCATTCATTGACTTCATCAATAGTGTTTGTTAGCTAATTACCTGAGCTAGGACCACAGAAATTATTTAATTCTTATTGGCTGGGAAGTGGAAGATACAATTGCAAGGGGAAGGCAGTGTTGGTACTTAGGCAGAGAAGGCAGGGATGCATGTGGTAGTTCATTTAATGCTGCAATCATAGTATACTTATCTGCCTATCTGGGAAGTTAAAAAAAATTGATTTATAAACTGCTATGTTGCTTCCTCAAATGATTCTTCAGTGAGCAGTTGAACCAGACATTTTTCTCGCTTCAACTATAAGTCCTGATACCCTCAAGCAGCCCACAGGAAAAAAACCCCTCTTAACCCTGTGAGAAAGCTAAAGTGTGACTGAGGTTGATGACTGTAGCACTGACACCTGGGAGGAAGGCAGGTAAGGGGAAAAATACTTTAATAATTCAATGGCAAATGACAATACAGATCAGCTTTAATTTGATGAAAGCAGGAATGACATTGTTTGGATGCAAGTCCCTGCTCTCCTCTTATATTCCTCTTCCGATGATTGGCAGATTGTATTTTGACAGAGCAGGTGGAGAGTCACCCAGACCCTTTTCTTTCTCACCTGACAGGCCATTGTTCTGTAGGACATTGGCAACCTGGTCTGAGTAGTTGTGGATAATTGAACAGGCATTGTCTGGGAGCACAAACAGCTTCATTACCTCTTCTCCTCCAGCTAGCAGAGCTCTTTTCTGGGATCACTGACCTGCAGCTTCCAGCAGCAGGCCAGCACATCCCTCCCTGCACACAGTCTGATCCCTTTCCTGTGATCCAGGACACAGCTGCAGGTTTGTTAAGCCTTTTGGCACCCTGGTTTGTGATGGTAAGCCATGGTAAAGACCGTAAAACCAAAGATCTGAAGTGGATTTGTGATCAGGAAATTGTGACATGTTCAGTTAGAGTGAGGGTGAGTATTGATGATATCCTATGCTGTGTGCATGAATTAGCAGTTGTCAGCATTAGGAATACTTCACTAGGCAACACTCCGTAGTCTCATCTCTTGAAAGGCACAAAACCCAGATTCTTTGTACCAAGAGTGGGTGGTACCCTATTCTTTTATTCTCCTTAATTTTAGCTCATAACCTGTCTAATCCATGCCCCACAAAGATGTAGGCTATTTTTTGTCACTGAATGCAATAACCTCAAACATGCTGTATCTGCACCACATCCTGGATGAGGTCCTGACACAGGACCATTTGTCACTTATCACACTAATACGATCTGTGAAGGATACCACAGGCAGCCTACCCATCTGTGGGTAGTCATGTTAGAAGGAGTTCTGTTTTCCCTTGTACCATTGTATCCATTGTACCAGGATAACAGCTAACACAGCCAAGAAAATATTCCAGTAAAATAGTTCAGAGGTGGTAGCCAATGCCTGCTTTCAAGCCCATTTTTGTTTTACTTCAAGTCTCTACTGACTTATGTTTATTCAGGCTAACGTGTCTTCTCCCTACCTGTTAGCTTCTGAGATCACAGTCCAGAGTGTAATTTATCATTTCTCATCTCTGTGTCTTATTCAGAGCCAAGCTAGGTGCCTGGTTGACTGAAAAAGAGCTTTATAGGGAGAAGAAAAATTAATGTTCATTCATATTCTTACCAGTAAACTCTCAAGGGAAACCCTAAAGAGTGGCCTCTTGTGAATCGGGTTTGCAGCAATATGAACATGGACAGTTGTTGCAAGGTCTTTGGATTACCAGATATCTCACTGCCAATCCTTTTGCTGTACATGGGTGGGAAAATGCAGAAGAAAAAGCCATCTCCTGTGCTGAGAAGCTTGTACTCGAGCTCACAAGAGCAGTAGCTCTGCTTCTTTGCCACAAAGGATCAGTGATTGAAACCTTCCCAAGAGTCTTGCTCATGGCTGCTCTGGCAAATGTCTTTAGTACCTGTGTTGATGGCAGCCCGAGAGCTGGTGATAGGGAGACAAAGCTACATTCACCAAAGATGAGGGATTGAGTCTGTTACTGGTTATGCATAACCAGCTGAGGAACAAGCAATTCCCTTTTCCTAGAGAAGCTACAGAGTATAAAACCTGTATAAAACCACTAGGTGTCCCATTCTGGATCCAACTTCCTTGGCCTCAGGCAAGCAAGGCCACTTGATGGAGAAGAAAACGCTCTGGATTCTTCCAAATTCTCCCTGACAGTCTAAAGAAACCCACTTTGGCTCAGAAAAAGAGCTTAGTTATTACAGTGGTAATCACAGCATAAGAACCATTCTAGTGCAAAGCAGATAAGTATTGATTGCAACACCCAAGTTTCATGTCACAGCATAAAATGAAAGGAGAAGGCTTGTCAAATATGCCAGTCTGATTCTCCCTAAAGGGTGCTAGAAATTCACATTGAGTCTTAGGGAATTTACCGTAGC